GAGCGAGGCAAATAAAAAACTCTTTACACACTCCGAGACGGTGCTGAGCTGGAACCTCAGGTACGCGATTGTGAAATTCCCCACGTTCCACTCCCTGCAGTCCACAACAACACAAAGAGCTGCCCAAGTTCCTCCACAGAATGCTTGTCCTTAAGACCGTTTCGCTGTACACTAACTTCTTAGGGTCATTCTCAAAGGATAAGTCAGTTGGGGCGGCACATGATCTTGAATGAGTCCCAGAATTATACGACACTGTTTGTTTGTAGGGCTTATTCATGCTACACATACAGTTACATGAATGCATGACCTGAAATAGGATGTCTGCGTAATCATGAAGTCTGAAAAACAATAAAAGGAATGGAAAACAATATCCGTGATCTCTTAATTGCTGATGAATGCAGTTGGGGAGATGTAATTGAAGAGGAGCAACATGCGGCTATCTGTGTCTCCTCTGTTTTCTTGTAGTCATTCCCACACTGACCAAAACCACTTCATATCAATTAAGTTCCAGTTCATAACGTGTTCATCACAGCATATAGAAAACCTTAGTATACTCTGCACAGTTCAATTCTTTTAGACTACACTGACCAGGCGGTCATAATCTCATTAATTATGACATAAAGTAACTTCTGTGTGACTATTTGCTAGAAGCAGCAATTGAAATACCTCCCTTTCGGTTGCATATTTGGAGCTTATAAAGTTATTTTAGAAGACTTTAACTACTCGATTTGCTGTCGACATTCTGCGAAAAGGTTCACACTGCCTTCACCCTGAGAATGAATATAGTGTATAATTTTGTTAATTGACCAAGAATCAGTTTCCAGTTAAGCTAAATCAAAAATGATGACAATTTTTTGGGAAAGAGAAACAGACACATTTTTCCTTTGTGATGCATGTTAAACATGCCGATTTACTCATGAATAGGCAATATTTAATGGCATTTGTGAAATTTCTGCTGTCAGAAAACTGCACACTCCAAACCAATTAAACAACAAATCACCTGTGTCATGCTCAATTGAACAAAACCTTCAGCAGGGGCCCTGCTCTTCTTAATGTATTTCTCAAGACAAGCAGCCACCATCTTTGATAGAGCAGTCTGGAAAATGTGTGAAAACAAGAGAAAATAAGACAATGAAACACATACCTTACCCGCTGCTATGGGCCAGGGAACACAGTGGTTACCATGGCTTAATCTGTCACTGAAGTGGACTTTAAGGGGTGACAGGGTTTTTGCAGGCTGATCTTTCTCCCAAACAGACAGCTTAGCATTTGTGTGCACAGGAAGAGCCCTTTCCAATATCACAAATAAGCTGTGATGGGCAGAAGAGCCAATTTAATCTCTGTCTCCTACTCTCTCAATCTCTACGCCAATGGAATTGCAGCTGATAGAGAGGGAAGAATATTTCATTTTATTCTAAATGATTTAAAACATTCCTGGCTTTTCAGTTTGGAAATAGACATTTGGACAATATTTCAAAGAAAATGAAATCCTGTAAATTGTTTAGAAATTGAACCTTTCACTTTAAAACCTTGGCAAAATAATGCTGACATAGGGGACAGTGCACAAAGTATAATAAATATTATGCATATTAAAAACCAAACTACTTTATCTGGCTTTTTTTTCAGGTTGAGAGATTGATGGGACAACAAGCGATTAACCTGATAATTATGTGATTAAAGAGATCAAAAGAAAAGGGAAAAAAGTTTGCATCAAACTGAAACGTCTGTGTTTTTGCCATGTTTTGGATTGTATTTGGGATCGCTTTATTTGTGGTTATTTTATAAATCATTTGGATTCATGTGCACAAACACAGTCTGCGCTGACTGTGATAAACGAAACTTTTAACGAAAGTCGCGCAATTTATTCACCCTTACATGCACCTTAAGCAGGACCATAAATACAGACAAAATGACTTGGTCCATTAGCAGGTCACATACAGATGGGGCTGAGCACACATGCATGTCGCAGCCTCACAGACAGCAGCGGGGGGAAACTAGTGCGTTCACATCTCACCGTGTCCCTCCCCTGAAACCCACCTTCTTGAAAGGTTTTTGCGCGTCTGTTTTGTGGGATAACATCAGAAGGGTTCGTCCCGTCGAGCCAATCAGGTCCCTCCCTACCTCAGATCGCAGCTATAATACATAGGAGTAAAGAGGCTTCTCGCATAAGTGGCTGTGGCTTCAACTACCGTTGTGATTTCGAGGTCAGTCTTACCTTTCCCATCCACGCCGCAACCCTCCGGTGCGTTATCAGACAAACATTTCCGCACCTGTCACGGTAGGGCTCGGCGCCGAGGGACACGCGTGAGCTGAGGAGACGGCAAGGACATCGCCGGAGATCCGCGCAGCGAGAACGAGAAATCCTACTAGACACACCGCGCAGGGCGCTCTAGAACACCGCAGCGAGATTCACCGTGCGGCAAAATGCGGCTTATGGCGAGAGTGCTGCTGGTGTCTCTTCTCAGTCTGTCCTTGGTGGTGTCCGGACTGGCCTTTTTTTTTGTCCGGGTTGAAGGCTGTATATAACATTTATGGCGTCTCACACAACTCCATCTGTTATCTTTTTTCTGTCCCCAACATGGCTTTCCACTCTCGTCGCATTAGCAGGGATCATTTGAACTTCTGACCCTTTGCAATGCAAAGGAACAATAACATTGCTGTTTAGTAAATGCATCGAAAATATTTTTTCTATACTATGCATATTCAGGATTGCTTCCGTGTAATTTATAACGCTATTAGTCTGAGTATAATATCTTTATTAGTCCATTTCGGACGTGTCTTTGCGGAATAGCTATTAGGTTCAAAGTCTAAGTCATGACTGGTTAGCGCATGGACGAGGTTTGCTTAAACATTGCGAATGTCAACCAAAGTGGAGTTACACGCGCCGCGCAGGTGTATTATCAAGTTTCCCCTTTTCTGTTCTTTAAAAAAAGATGAAACCCCTGTCTGGTGTGGTTTTCTCAGATGTATATCAAACTCTACTTAAGGTGAATGTGATTATAAGTGTGCGATGACCCGCGGGCACACTCGCTGCCGTTAAAAATAGGAAAGTTACCCTTGCAATCTTGTAACTTCAAATTAACGTCTCAGTCTTTCAAGGGGAGTTAACGAGGTGTCATGTTAACAAATGTTTTGGAGAAGCGCACCCGAGTGTAAGAGATGGTTTGTTGGTTGAACACGCTGTGTCATCAATTGGGCTTAACGGTGCTGCTCGCGAAATTAGGCGCAACTGCGAGAGCATCCAGGAGGCTGTTTGCTCTGACAGGTAGCTGATAAGTGTTTCCTCTAAAACAGTTCATTTCGGTAGGAGATTAGTAGCTGACTGTGACTAGGCGGCTTGTTGAACAAACCTCGTGTGGAGCACAAAGCGGCGGCACAGGGGTTCCCGCTGCGCTTCATGGTGGCTGAACAGCGGCTTCATTTGGCTTGATTTGCGGCACACGACCCAATGAATTAATAAAGAGTTTAGGCTTCACGGCTCTTGAATCCCCAGTAGTTTTGCTCAGAATGTGCTAGGTTGTGTCTTTCGGTGCCTCGTTTGTATTTTCCGCTCTCATTCAAGTGCCACAAGTGCTGTAGAGCTATTAGGCAGCAGATTCCAAGTATAATCACTAAATCCATTTGAGGGTAAAGTACCATTCTGTCATTTTCCATTCAGCCCACAGATATTCCACACATCATCAGTATCTCAATATGAAAATAATGCATGTAGACGCATATAAGAGGATGCATCTGTGAAGCGCAATAAGTTTTTGGTGGTTTGACAGATCCAAGTATTGAAACATTTGAAACATTGAAAAATTGAAACATTTTATATTATATAATTGACTATACTTCTTTTTTTTTATTTTTTATGATGGAATCTAATCCAGTGTAATTAGGTGCATGTGGCTTTCACTACACACATGAAAATTAGAGGGTCAAGCAAATCAGTAGAAAGTGAGGCGATAGTAGTCTGGTATAGGATGTTAGGCTAAGTATGGTGTGTGTGTGTGTGCACTTATGAGGGGGGAGAGAAAGAGGGGGAGAGCGAGCAAGTCAAAGCTAGGAGGGTACGTGTGTGAATTATTGCAGGTATTAATTTGGCATAGTGTCACAATTTGCAAGCATATTTTGAATAGATTTTATATAACCTCTGAAAGACCGTCGGTTAAGCAATCACATCACGTCCCTTGAGCAAACCTGTGCTGCAAGAATAATGAGTAGTTGCTTCTCCTTTTGGACGCAGTGAAAGAGTCTTTTGTGGTGTTTTATTTGACATATTGGTTAAGTGTTGGGAAGAGTTGTCCTGGAGAAGGCCAAGCATCTCCACACAAGGTCCCGGGAAAGGTTAGTGGGTGCACCACCCAAACATGGCCTAATATTCCACAGCTACCTGCACCTCAACGAAAGCCACTGCTCTAAACCTTAAGGTTATAGTACAAAACCACTATAACTCAAACATCCCTTTTTAGTATTGTTTTCTAATTTCAAGTTACCATTGCATGTATTTTGGCCTTTGAAAGAGAAGAGGCCTTGATGCAGTCACACCTTTCCCTGGTTGGATCTATATGTTTCAGATCAGTGAAGCGAATGCAATAACTTATCAATTTTTCATTAAGCTCTTTGGGCAGAATATCCTTGCATGCAAGGCTGAATTATTTCCAGTGTAAATACAGGTTTCTCGTACGGTCGGCTTATTTGTCTAGACGTATCTATTGGGATATTACAGAATTATTGTCAGCAAATGATGTCTGGGGAGCTGTAATCCTTGAGAAGGTTAGAGAAAATGACAAGATACTACTGAACCAGTTTATTTCTTTAAATAAATTAGACCTGTCGGTTTATTTACGGGGTGCAAACTGCTTTTATGTAAGCTATGCTATTATTTTTGGAGATTCAGAACATTATTTATAAATTTGTAAAAAAAAAAAAAGTTTATAGCAACATGGATGAATGAATAGAAATGTATTAAAACTCAGTTAATTACCTCTCTTCCTGTTCTCTCTCTATTCTATTAGAGATGCAAAGACAAGCTGAACTCACTGGCCATCTCTGTAATGAACCAGTGGCCAGGGGTTAAGCTGCGTGTGACAGAGGGCTGGGATGAGGACGGTCACCATTTTGAAGAATCACTCCACTACGAGGGAAGAGCTGTTGATATCACCACCTCTGATCGAGACAAGAGCAAATATGGCACACTCTCTCGGTTAGCTGTGGAAGCTGGATTTGACTGGGTCTATTACGAGTCCAAAGCCCACATCCATTGCTCTGTCAAAGCAGGTAAGACCATGGCAGCTTGATTGGAACGGCAAAATAAAGAAGTGATGAGCACGTTTCACACTCGATTTCATGTGAAAAAAAGCAGGGTTAACTGCTTTTAAATACTGATACAGTAAAAAAAAGTTATTTATTACTGGAAGTGTACTGTATTAGTGTCATAAAAATAACATCTGGCAAAGGAATTATTATTTCTAACAAATATTATTCTAATTAATAAATCTACTGTATATTTTAGGATTTATAAATAATGATCAAGTGATAAGCAATCAAAGCCTACAAATTGTTTTAAGGCTATTCCTCTATTAGACCTCCTTTTAAATCTTTACACCTTATGAAATTCCTAGGACAGATAATGCTGTGTTAAACACAGAAAGACTTGCCAGCCAATATATGAAGTGATCTTACATCGCCCCACTCTGTTTCTTTGAAGGAAGCGCTTATCAAGTCATCACAAGCTCACTCACTGCAACGGAACGCACACTGTACAAACATTTTACTAGAGATCTATGAAAACAAATTGAGTATAGTATTTTTACACGCGCGCTTGAAAAAATACGACGAAGGCATCACTTGCGCAATTCTTGTCAGGATTTTATTTAGTTTAACACTGATCGAAAGTAATTTATCTGGAACATATTGGCAAAGCCTCATAAGCGTTCACCAAATCGTATCATTTAAATTCTAAACACATTTACAAATACATTACAGGCTTTTAACAGAGCCGGGTCGAACTCGCTCGCGCAAATCTGTTTCTCAGTTGACACCATCTTATTTCATGCCCTAGAATCTTACGAGAGGATTAGACGAAAAGTCCATTCTATAGCTCTGTTTACCGACCCAAGAGATCGGAATGTGAAGAGATCCCACAAGGCCCGAATTATTGTCATTAAGCTTGACAACGGAGAGCAGGATGGTTTAAAAAAAAATGAAAGGAAAGAAGAGGGCATTGATTGACTACTGCTAGCATTTCTAATTTACATTCAAATCTACACCATTAGAGCCTTGGAAAAGTGTCTGGGCTGAGTAAATACTGTTTGAGCCTGCTTGGGGTTTTCTCATTCTATAAGTGTGAATTGTCACATAGAAGTTTCTGCACCTGAGCAAATATGAAAGAGGCGCAAGGAAAGGCAGAAGTGTCCTTTTCCAAGAGTGCTCTGTACACAAGCTGCATTAGAATGACAATGTGCGGGCTTTATTGGTTTTTAATTAGAGCAGTCCAGACTCTTTCCTCCTTCATCTCACACAAAGACATTGTTTTTTGGGAAAGCTTTCGATTTACAGCCTAATTCCCGTTGCCACGTTTTCTTTTGTTTATTCATACTTTTTCTTACGCGAGGCGACTTTGGGGCAGATTTAGCTGCCTTGCGCGCATGGTTTTCGAGCTTTTTGACTCGACAACCTCACCAATAACGACTCAACACTCTTAAAAATAAAGGTGCACCACGATGCCATAGAAGAACCTTTTTTTTTGTCTAAATGGTTCCATAAAGAACCTTTAACATCTTGAAGGACCTTTCTGTTTCACCAAAGATTCTTTGTGGCGAAAGAAGGTTCTTCATATTATACAAAGGTAAGAAAATAGATGGTTCTTTAAAGAACCTTTAACTGAATGGTTCTTTATAGAACCAAAAATGGTTCTTCTATGGCATCGCTCTGAAGAACCCTTTAAGCACCTTTATTTTTAAGAGTGAAAATGTGCTAAATTAGCGTAAAACATTTATGATGTAACTTCTCGATATGCAGCATAAGAAATATTGCTATTTATCTCGACAGAAAATTCGGTTGCGGCGAAATCTGGAGGCTGCTTCCCAGGCTCGGCTCTGGTCTCGCTCAAAGACGGGGGACAGAAGGCCGTGAAGGACCTGAACCCAGGTGACAAGGTGCTAGCGGCGGACGGCGATGGGAAGCTCATGTACAGCGACTTCATCGTGTTCACAGACCGAGACTCCGCGACGCGACGCGTGTTTTACGTGATCGAAACTAAAGAACCCGTTGAAAAGATCACCCTCACCGCTGCTCACCTCCTTTTTGTCCTCGACAACTCAACGGATGATCTGCACACCATGACCGCCGCGTTTGCCAGCAGTGTCAGAGCCGGACAAAAGGTGATGGTTGTTGATGATAGCGGTCAGCTTAAATCTGTCATCGTGGAGCGGATATACACGGAGGAGCACCAGGGCTCTTTCGCACCAGTGACTGCTCATGGGACCATTGTGGTCGACAGAATACTGGCGTCCTGTTACGCCGTAATAGAGGACCACAGTCTGGCGCATTTGTCCTTCGCGCCCGTCAGGCTCTATCATAGCGTGGCATCGGCCCTGTTCCCCAAAAACTTCATCAGTCAGTCCAACGCGACTTTACAACAGGAGGGAGTCCACTGGTACTCCAAGCTCCTGTATCAAATGGGAACGTGGCTTTTGGACAGCCACATGCTTCATCCTTTGGGGATGTCAGTAAACTCAAGCTGAAACCCTCGTATGGAAATAAAGCAAGAGAAATCACACTAATGTAGGATCTAAGACAATATTAGTAGGCTACAAGCAAGACAGAAAGAGAGAGCGATAGAGAAATAAAGAAAGAGAGAGACAAAGGCCCCGAGAGGAGTTGGGATATTTATTACAATGACTTTAAAAGAAATGTCATTTTCAAAGAATAAATGGAGCCTTAAAAGTTTTCTTTGCATAATTTATTCTCGCGTGAACTCAGGCTGGGGGCACACAAACGGGATCATCCAGCGGTGCAGAATCTATTTTTGTATATCTCATGTAAACAGGAAAAAAAAAGATTTTTTTTTTTTAAAGAAAAGTAAGAAAAAGAGAAAGAAACTTTCATGACAGGTTGTAACATTCTGTGCATATGTGCAAATGACTGTTATATTTTAGGGGTAAGCAAACGCCGTGGGGCTCCAGAAATTATATTTTTATACACAGAATTGTACATTAGATTTTGACCGATCGTTACCTAATCACTTTTCGTTATTTGAAATAGTGTAAGATACGAGAATATATTTTAATTTAAAAAGGTGCAGAGTCTTTGCAGTCTTGTGCTGTTTTCTCTTTTAGAATTATCTATTATTTTGTCATTGCTTTAGTTGTCAGAGTGCGACAGACATGTACGTCCTTGTTCACCCTTCTCTGGCTTCATTGCTTCTTGTATTTCTTTAAGAAAATACGAAATGCACATTCTGACAATTCAGTAACGATAATAGTCCCACAGTAAAGAACAAAGGGTTTCGTTAAACAAATGAATAAGTAACTACTGTACATTTACTAAAATGTATTTTTCTTTTCATATTTTGTAATAGGTAAATAGTTTTATAGAAATAAAATGCAGCTGATGCACAGTTTGGATAGCATATGATTGAGTGGCCATACCAGTTAACCTACCTTTCATCAAGGCCAGGTGTCAGGAAATGTATAGAATTGATTATTTATATGTTTATTATAAATGAATGAGATAAAGAAAATATTCAAACTGTTTTGTTTCATGAATATCCGTTGAAAATGCAGACATTAAACATCTACACCTATCATTTCAATAACCAGATTTAATATCATTATTATTGATATTATTTTTAACGCCCATAAATATTTAATTGTCATTGCTGTGGTTTAAATAGTCGGCTCTCAAGGGCTGCTATTAAAATATTAACTAGGCTGGTAATGTTCATTGCTGTGTCATGTTTAACACATGGCACAAGAAAAACGATATAGCCTACAGGTTGCTTACATGCATATAATTAAATAGGCCTACAATTTGTGTTTTATTGTTACAATAAAAACGGTATCTGACAGAGTCGACCAATAATGTTTCCATTTCCAACCCACGTAAATCGGGCTACTCAGCTTGCATAAAACTCGAGTGGGAGAAACGAGTCCATTGAAACAAACGTGTGGAAATGCGAAATGAAGTTAAATCGTAGCTACTGTTGAAAACGGCTGTCGGTAAGACGCGAAAAAGTCTTTGATCTGGATTTTGTATGCTTGCGAAAAGTTGTGGTCCCATGTTAAATATGAAGAGGACAGTCCTTCGCAAATAACATCTGAAAACCTCTCACGCAGATTAAAAAGGCCACTGTTTGCGTGCTTTAGACGCACCAACACATTTCCCACTGGAAATAGCTCTGCTTATTAGATCGGCTACTTGCTGATTTCACATGCGGAGGTCTATAGTGTTGCTGTTACTCACCAAGCGAGAATCACCTCAAAAATCTGTGACGCAATCAAATACACATTTTTTGAAGAAATTCACATGGATGACGTAGAACAAAGTCCCCACCACCCCATGGTTGCGATTAAACACATTAACACCGTGTTCCAGTCTTCATGTAATTCGGATTTTATAGTGAAGTTTCCCTATAGTGTAACAGGTGGCGCACCAGGTGCAACAAGAGGAAGTGAGGAAGCGCTCCACTTCTCATCTAACAGGCTACATCATACATGATGCACGAGTCAGTGCAGCGGCTTTTTTCCTAACTTACGGTTTAGTAAACCCAAACTCTAAGGTTTCCTTCGGTTAATTCTGAGATGTAATATGTGGCTTCTACATACATGCAAGCAAATGACAGCCTAACCTTTTGCAGCCATCCAATAATGAGCCCCGAACCCATTCACAAGTCCAGACATCAACACAAGTATCAGACATTCCCTATCTGTGTGTGAAATTAATAAGCTATTATAAGCATTCACCTTTGAAATGACAAAAGCTGATCGCATCCATAGCAGAGTGAATCGGTGCGGTTTTGTCAAGCTGAGTGGCCAAAATGTCACCTTCACCAATTCAAAACTTTCACAAACACCTCCCAGACCTCGATATCATTCACTGAAGTCTCTGTTGAATAATATTATCACTGTGACCTCAGCGGATAAAATGGCTATTGAGAACAGTAGCTACTAAAGTCTGAAGTGAATGTTCCCGTCTGACCTGACGTGCAAATACAGACAGCAATGCCAAAAACATCAGCATGAAGGATCAATAAATATAAAAGATGGGCTAGGTTAGCGTCTTCACCATCTTTGTGTTGCACTGACCACATATACAACCACATCCATTTTTTGTCTTTTATGATGAATGCGTGCATGTGTGTGCACGGACACTTTGAAGGGTGTTAACTAGTGAGTGAATGGAAGTTTGAGCTTTTGAACTCTGTTGCAACACGAATAGAAATTCCACTAGCATTTCTTGAGGAGACTTCATTGTGCTGCAGGTTTTGCTGCTTTTTAGAGCTGTTGGTGAGGCTCACTCTCAGCCCTGACCTTGAGCATTTACACAGACACAAAAGCGACCGGGCGAAAGCATTCCTCGGAGCAGGTAAATAAAACCAACTAATCCTTCAGAGGGGCCTTGTGTCTGCAGAGAGAGCAACTGTTTCAACAAACGCTCGCCGGCATTTGCAAACAAAAATGGACTGGCAACTGTTGTGAAGTGCGAAGGAAATACAGCTTGCCTACCGTTAAATTCCAATCATTCACCTTGATGATTGCATAAATATTTAGCCAAGAGACAATCACTTCTCCAAAACTACAATTTCCATGAAACTTGCATTTCAAATGAAAACACAGACTACAGGAGAGACCAGAGTTTGGTGTGGTGTGGCATAAAGATTGTTTGGGACACAATTTACAATAAGGTTTCATCCGTTATCATGAACTAACAATAAACAATTCTTCAGCCTTTATTCATCTTAACCTTAATCTCAACATTTACCAATACATCAAGATCAAAATGTGTATCTGTTAACATGATTAAATCACTAACATGAACATTTGAAGTAATATTAACGAAAGTTAATAAATGAGTGTCTCACAATTGATAATAAACATCTCTCAGAAAGCAGATGCAAGGTGAGTGTCATTCATTTATCAGTCCATAAAAACAACACAGGCAATAGAGAAGATAAAATCCAGGAAAAGGATTTATTTCAAGTAATTGTTCATAAGTACAGTCAAGGCATATTATCGGTTTTCATTTGACGAGCTCCGTGAAAGCTTACTAAACAAACACCATTTATATTCTTCCCAATTCAACATGTAGGACAGTCTGGTGTACACATTTCAGACACATCAAAACAGTTTCATTAATACAAGATCGAGGGACAACAAAACGGTGATCAAAACAGCATAAATCACTTCCCCCAAACAATAATGATTTCCAAGTAATGTTTTCTTTTCGTCCAACAACGCAACATGTGTGTATAGCTGGCAAGAGTGTACAGATCATTCTTGGGCTTTGTGCAAGTTTTTGAATTTTGGAACTCAGTAGGGTGTGGTCCCAGAGACGCAAAACATCCACGGACGTGGGCTAATACAGTAAGGAAATCCAGAAGCAAGGTCCCCCTGCTTTAATACAGAAGGATTATGTTCACACAAACACCACATTGAGATCAACAACCGCTTTCCCATCCAGCCTCCAAAAGAGCAAAGAAAGAGCGAGTGAGAGAATGAAAGTCAACAAATAGAAAAAGAGAGAGAAAAAACACGAAAGAAGGGATATCTGGCACCACTTAAACTGAAGAGCACCTGTTGAGAAATTAAGACAAGTTAGCATCGTCTGGAGGCAGCTCTACTGAAGACAGACACAATAACTGAAACCAAAAGGAGGGTTTTTCACATCAGTTCAATATTTCAGTTTTCGTCCGATTTGCTTATGCAGTGGTTTTCAAAAGCACCGTTTCTTTCACGGAGTGTGGAGTGTCACTCGAACAATCAATAAAAACATTTTCATTGTAATAACGATCAAAGTCATACTACTTAAGTTAAAGCTATTCAGAACATGTTTCGGAGAAGCTCAACACAGTACAGTTACTAGCGAGCACAGGCTACTCCAGGACCAGAGTTCAGGAGAACCGCAGCTGGATGCAGGTCTGGGAATGTCAATCATTACACTAATCTAATACACAGGCACAATCTAACACAAGTCACAAACACTAAGCAGCTAAGCTTTGCTTAGAAGCCATGAACCTGATAGTTTAGCCAAGTTAAAACGAATTCTGCTCCAGATCAACAGAGCGCTGAGCACGACTGAATCAATCTTCAAAATCAATCTGCCATTCTGTAGACTTAACAATATATTTTATAGCACCATCCTGTCCTAGTTATGCAATGGTTGTTTGCTAGTGTGAGCATGTATGACTATTCTCCAAACACAATCTCATCAGGTCATTGCTGTTTTAACATACATATGCTATGATCACTTTGCACTTTGCAGCTCTCAACTCTCTATCATACCACAGAATGACTCCAAAACTAATGTATAAAACAGCTTCACCCAGAATTACTTCAAGCAATCTGCTACTACAACACCAAAAAAAGTTTCAACACAATCTGTACATTTCTAAATAGTCCTTTTGAAAACCAATGCCATCTTAGAATGAAAAAGGGTGCAGAGCATTTGTTTTATGAAAAACCCTCCTTTCTGTGCTCCTGGAAGCTCTGTCCTGAAAAAGAGAAAAAATGGTTTAATTACAAGTTACAAATAATCATACTGCTGCCGACGGGAAGCAGCGCATTGTGTTTGACGCTTAAAACAGTGAGTAAAAACAGGCAAAATGATTATACATTTATACATATTTTTCCCCTGTAATTATGGGGGGAATGCCACATCTACCATTATGAGATATAAATGTAATCTAATTGATCTAATTCTGAAGCAATAGGCAATACTGGTATTTTTATAAACTGGCCAATTGCTCTATTGCAGCAGGATCCGTGGTAAAATAAATAAATAAAATAAAACACTGGGAGTGTACCAGCCACAGCAATTGACAGAAATAAAGAAACAAAACAAGATCCAGCAAAAAAGTAAACCTTTAGCCTACTCTTGACTCTATCACATAATACCTCTTCCATTATTTTGAACTATACATCTTGTGAAAAATATCTGCCAAAAATAGACAATCTCTGAAAACGTAAATTTGTCACGTGTGATTACAGATCAGAAAGGGACAGTTTCCCAAGAGTTAATCTACACTTACAAAGAAGTTACTAAACGATTCAATATGAATCCATTTTTCTCTCTTATAAGACTGTTTATAAATATTATGTGTCTTATAAGATTTATACCTAGAAATATATTAAAAAAAAGTCTCTGACTAGATAAAACATTTTAAATCCATGGGATTAACTCTTTTTACATAAATACATTCAAACCAATAAATAAATTGAAACTGAAAAAACAAACAAAACACAAATCTGTGCCCTATACCAATTTTAAACAGAACATGTCCAGAAAACGCAAAGTTAACAAAAACAAAATAAAAAAGCTTATATATTTTTTAAGTGGATCCATATGTACTACATAAAATTATTCATAATCTTACCCATTATGTGTATTTCTGTGATTCCTAGAAACTCATGGAGCAAATTATTAATACAATTATATGGACAAATAAGGTACTGTGATTAACCACACCCAGCTACTATATTATAACAGAAGATGGCATATCAGCAAATTACAAGTGCATCTTAAAACAAGAGGGTGCTGAAGGGTAGCAGCTTTACAAATTCACTTCATAGACATAATGGCCCAAAGTCTTGGACACAGTGAGCATTAGAACCATAACACACAAAACATCTCAGATGTTTCAATTCACCTGACTTGAGAGAAACTGTGGCACCTTAATTGGAAACAAAATCTTTTCCGCTTAAATCAGTTTGCACGGTTGGCAACAGAGAAACATTCAGGAGGACGGAGGAAATCGGGGAAATGAGTATGTTGTGAGAGGGAATCTTCAAACACAAAACAACATCAGACAACAGTTAATGGTGATCAAGACAGCTGGCTTCACATAACCGTATTTACATGGTATATATGTGACCATCTTTTATTTTTCATCTTTAAAATATCCTCAAATAATAAGCTCTAAGTTCTCCAAAAACAAAACTGACCAAGGAATACTTTTTATATTGATATATAAAAACAAATTGAGAGAAAAGAAATTCACCAGTCATGTACTAGTAGGTATTTTCAAACCATTTCAAACATGGAAAGATTTCGAGATGAGAAAACAACAGACTTGACAGCTTCATACACATTTTTTTTTTCATTATATACAAGAAAGTGACCACTGATAACAGTTGCTCCCAAATCCTTTGAAATTGCAGACCTGGATGTGTTAATATCTACAGACATATTTGATTCTACTGAAATGGCTCAAACATAATTTGATTTTGTTACACTGTTATATTATCTAAAACTGATATATTTTAGATACTATAACAAGACTTTGTTTTTTGCTAGAAATGTAGCATATAATGTAAAGTGGTTGGATTAAATGAACAGTCACAAATATGAAAACTGTAATGCACTAGATCTAAGAGATCAGTTCTGGGGCCATAACGTGAAGGTTTAGGTTAAGCTGTACAATTAGACATGACCAAGCGCTATGCTTGCACAGTACCGCAAACTATTATTATTATTATTATTATTACTATAAATAATAATGGATGATATAATAACAATTTGAGGCATGAAATACTCATGATTGAAGCCATGAAATCATTTTGAGGGAGTGTAATATATTTACTGGAGACTGAAAACGTATGGGATTTGTGTAAAAAAAAAAAAAACACCTTCCAAAAATCTAAAGCTTGGGTAACAACTTACTAAATAAATGGAAAAATAAAGTGGAAAATGGAGATAACGGATATTAGAAGCTGATCTTGACCAATCCTTATCCCTAACAACTCACAATTCAGATTCAGTAACCTGTATTCCCATCTGACAAACTTCTAAACAATTAACGGAGCCAAAGTTATAAGCATATTATTACAAACAGTCCAAAATATCTCTCTTCACAAACAAATAACTAAGCTGTTGTTGTAAACAGGACAGTTCAAACTCATCTAGTGCTCTAGACATCCCGCACCTTAATGTAAGCAAACAGAGCTCCATCAAAACCTACAATAAAATCCTATCGAATCATCACACAGGCCATGATTCAGTCGTCCTCTTCCACACACAACATGTGCTGAACTCTGAGGAAAGAAAACTAAACACATTAAAAAGTAGTATTACCAAAGGAGGGGACTTTCTGGTTGCCTTTACTACTTTCTTAGAAGCCATTTCTAACAACGATTAAAAGAATCTAAATATGCAATTCCAGCACCAAAACCTAAAATCAAAATATAAAAGCCATTTATTGTCAAAATTGTTTTTCAGCTGTCTTTAGGTCCCAAAGACACGTGTCGTGAACCACCACTCCAGCTCTGCAGAACAAAACCCAACTGCAATACAATCATAATGGAGGAAGGGACAATGAATAAACTTAAGATCATGAATAGTCGTAGACAAATGTACAAAAAAAGAGACACCTGCATTATCACAGTGGCTTCCAAAAGATACACAATTAGAAAAAAGCTCAACCCAAATATGCCCCTGAAGTTTCATAACAAGCAGTGCTTTTCTCTCTGATGTCCACATGTCCTTAGCTATGCCCCAACATACAGAGCTCCATACCGAAGACATCTGCTGCCCTCTACAGGTGACAAAACCTACCGCAGCATGCGCAATATTATTCAATCAGGCCAAACCACCCCTTTAACACTTTGTTCAAGTCACTGACTGTGGAAATTCCACAATAAATCAAGAATTCCTATTTGACCAAATACAGACATCCAAAAGATTATCTTGAGAGCTAGAGGATGGGAGCAACTATTATCAACTGGAATAAAAATGTCCTGGTTTCATACCTTTTTCTCTCTTTTCACCTGCTGGTTCAGACCATTACTGATCCCTCCACATATAAATGAAAGTACAGAAACAAGAGCAAGACTTCATGCCAAAGTCATTGACAATGTGAGTTCAGTGCTGTGCCATATCCAGCAGGACACAGCTGGTGTTTGGCTCTTTGTTTTGGATTCTTTCATGCATGTGGCTTGAGTTTGTCGACAGCACTCTCCACACAGCTTCCAAAGCTTTAGCCTTCTGATTGTGTGTCTGTCTTTCAGAAAAAGACGTTCTCTTCTTGCTCACTTCTTGTTGTCTTGTCTGTTGAAGTGGCTTGTTCCTCAGCCATCAATAATGGAAACATCGATGTGAGACAAATCTATCATGTGCCTATGTGATCAAGGGAACATGTGATGGAAATGAGACACTCACACTTAAAGGCAAGCTAATCTGAGGCACCTCCATCAAAACATGACAATCAGTGGAGTCACAGTAGAGCTCTTGTTCTTTGTTTTGATGAGGAATACTTGCGATGCTGCATTTTGGCACATTTTATTTGCCCTTCACAAACCATTAGGCACAATGACTCTGATCTGCTTCAGCCAATAGCACCAACAGAAAATACACCTTAATATTCACACCATATGCTACCAGTCAAAAGTTTTTGAACAGTAAGATTTTTAAGTTTTTTTTTTTAAGTGTTCTCTTCTGCTCAGCAAGCCTGCATTTTATTTTGATCCAAAATACAGCAAAAGCAGCAATACTGTGAAATATTTGTACTATTTAAAGTAACTGCTTTCTATTTGAATATATTTTAAAATGTAATTTCTGTGATCAAAGCTGAATTTTCTGCATCATTACTCCAGTCTTCAGTGTCACATGATCCTTCAGAAATCATTCTAATATGCTGATTTGCTGTTCAAGAAAATATGATGATAAACATTTTTTAATCTTATTATCAATATTTAAAACAGTTGAGTACATTTTTTTCAGGATTCTTTGATGAATAGAAAGATCCAAAGTCCAGCATTTATCTGAAATAAAAAGCTTTTGTAACATTATACACTATACCATTCAAAAGCTTGGAGTCAGTATCATTTATTATCGAAATTAATACTTTTGTTTAGCAAGGATGCTTTAAATTGATCAAAAGTGATAAATAAAGACATTTATAATGTTAGAAAAGATTTCTATTAAATTCTATTAAATGATAAATGCTGTTCTTCTGAACTTTCTATTCTTCAAAGAAACCTGAAAAACATAGTAATAATAGTTTTCTGAGCAGCAAATCAGAATATTAGAATGATTTCTGAAGGATCATGTGACTGGAGTAATGATACTAGAAATTCAGCTTTGAAATCACAGGAATACATTTTCAAATATATTTAAGTAGAAAACGGTTATTACAAAAGTAAAAATATTTCAAAATTTTACAGTTTTTGCTGTACTTTGGTTCAAATAAATGCAGGCTTGTTGAGCAGAAGAGACTTCTTTAAAAACATTAAAAATCTTACTGTTCAAAAACTTTTAAATGGTAGTGTATATAAAGAGACTTCAGAGGTTTGATATTTGATAACTGTTCTACAACACTTCAACACTACAAGTTTTTTAAGCTATTAATGAGAAACAGACAGATGTCTAATAGGAATCCACTGTTTCTATTCAAAATCTTATTTGCAACAGACATTTAAAATGAATATTTAGTCTTGGTGTGAATAGACCTCATTCTATAAAAATATGAAGAAAAACAAAAGTCCCAAAAATCTAATTATCCATAAAATGTCAACGACTCTATTCATTTTCATGCATTGTGTATAAACACATAGCACAATCCAGTTTAAGATTAATTTAAAAGTGTACCTGTGAAAGCTGTGCTGAAAACTTGCTGCATGCTGAGGGTTCACAAACTTGGCAATGGCCTTCCGCTGCTCCGGCAACATTGTAAACATCTACAAAATAACCATCAATTTGTGTATTAGCAGTGGGTTTTATTATCTAAATGCTCATCTGCTTGTTTCAGTAAGAGATAACCTCTGTTACTTTGCACTGTAACAGTGGGAGATACACCTCAAGAGCTGGGAGAAAATCATACAGGAGCACAGCCCTGAATGCACACAGCTAGATGGCGCTATTGTAATATTTAGAGGAATACACTACACTCTACCCAGTTTATTCTTGGGGTCATTGTCAGGAAGCAATTCTTTCTCTTCCAAATCATGGTATTTTGTGAAGGATAGTTTACAGCTAGGAGGGCATTAAATGATTTTAACAACATGGAGGCGAAGAACCACCTAGCCGTGTATTTTCCCACAAAAACAATGGTCAAAGGTAATGCTGTCACTGATGCCTGCAGAGCAAATTTTGACTGGGCGAATAAAATATTTCCATTAAGATACTTTATCTATGGGTTGTTAGATCGAGGATTCTGAAGACTGTGCATATATGAATTACCTGTGCGGCATGTCTCTACTAATCGTGAAGCTGTGAGTTTAATTACTTCAAAACCAGATACATTACCACCACTTAGCTGAGAAACATAATGAAGCATTTCAGTACTTAAGCTATTTTAGTAATAAAAGATGCAGGGCAGAGTCGACAAGTTTCTGTGCTCCTGAATGTTTCTCTGAGTACAAGTGACTCTGTGTTCTTGTTACACGTTACATGTACTTACTATTATAATAGATTACGCATAATTGCATGCAAGTAACCCTAAGCCAAACCCTAATCCTAACCATATAGTAAGTACATGTAGTTAATTAATATTACTCTGTACTTAAATGTATAATTACACTGTAACAAGGACACCTTAAAATAAAGTGTAACCAACTGTTTAAATGAATATGAAAGAGATTTTTTGTTCTGAAGATATTATTGTCTTCAAAACGGTTAAACAGCTTGAAGTTGACACTTAGTTATGTATACTGTAAATTAGGGATGCACCGATACCACTTTTTCCAGTACTCGCCCGATACCGATACTTTTATTTTTGGTACTTGCCAATACCGAGTAACGATACCAATATTTTTATTGCATTTGTACATTTTTTAAATATTGGGTACAGAAACCAAAAGAGTATGTATAATGTTAGTTGGTTAACTTAATTTATCAAACAGATACAGTCAAACCAAAATTTATTCAGATACCTTCAACATTTTGTTTTTGACATATCCGACCGAACTACAAACTTTCCAGTGATGTCTGTGAGAAAGATATATTCACTCGACAAGCTCGCACATCTGCGCCGCTGTGCACTCAATCCACTCACGTGCGCTCAATTTGCTTAACAGATGCTGTGTGGTATCGGCGTTTGGTATCGGGGCATTTTAACGAGTACAAGAGCTCAGTATCGGGCCCGATACCGATACCAGTATTGGTATCGGTGCATCCCTACTGTAAATACATATACTTACAAAAAAAACATTGTTTTATGCTCTTTGGCCATCAGGTGGTGCCATCATCAATTTGTTGATGGAAACTCAGGACATTGTAACGATGATACATATAGCAAGTTCTGCATAAAATTCCCACATACACCCCTTCTGATGCTTGATCAGTAATAAAAAGAAAAGACAGAAATGTGTTTTGATAAGCCTTACCTCAACAGGGCCAATGGAGTTGAGAAGGTTCGTGAGCTGTTTGTTGGTTGTGGTGGTGGATAAACCTTCAATGCAGACAGTGCTTCTCTGACAATCCTGAGCTCTTGGGTTCTGCTGCATCATCACACGCCCCCCACCACGGCCTCGCGCACGACCCCGAACTACCACCTGTGGACATCAGGAAGGGGAATATTGAATAAAGATGGAAAGAACAATTAACAGTACACTCTACCGGCTAACAACCTCTATGACATAAAAAAAAAAAAGATAATGTTGCTGGAACTAAGGATCTTTGTTAATTCATTGTTATATTCATTAGCTATTTTTGAAAATTATATTATATTATTTTACAAATTAAATTAAATTATTAATTATTTTTGTACAGCTGTTCATCGGAAATATCGCAAGTCAGTAATTGCTCTTAAAAACAGACATTCTAATTCATACTCATGTTTATATTATCAGAGGCATTGTTAGACTTCAATGGTTTAACCATATGATCAAATAGTTTCAAAAAGCAAGCTAAACCATATTAAGAAATTTCCTGTAGCCTTGATTGAATTACCAGTTATTAAATAATCAAAGCTACAGAATATTAGTTCATAGAGTGAATAAATGTGTATTTGCGGCCAGGAAACCAGCTGCAACATCAAGAAAGAGTGTTTTTGTCTGAAATAGGAAAGACAGTCCACCAATCTCTTCAGCACTTCACTGATTAAGCCTTGAAGCGGCTCGAGGGAAGAGGCTTCTGAAAAAGGCCATCATTAAGTCACGCCTGGAGTCTGCTAGAGGCCATGTGACAAAACCTGGTGAATGAAAATGTTGTGGTCTGTTGAGACTGAAGCTGAGCTCTTTGGCCTTGAAAGCAAAGCTCTGTGCTGGGCACAAACCAGAGACAGATAACGCTTCAGCATAAGCCTCTCATTTTATAAGGCAATAAAGTTTTTTTAAGGCACTGTTCCTTGTTAAACTGCTTTGAATGTTAAACAAAAACATGAAAAAAAAAAAGTATTTAAAAATTAATTTGAACTGAAATTCTGGAGGTTTACACTACAGTTCAAAAGTTTTTGTTAATGTTTTTGAAAGAAGTCTCTAACACTCACCAAGACTGCATTTATTTGATCAAAAATAATCTAAAAAAATATAAGGAAATATCATTTGAAACAACTTTTCTATTTTAATATATTTTAAAATATTATTAATTGCAGATAATAATAAGCTAAATTGTCATCAGTCATGATTATCTTGAGTGTCACATGATTAATCAGAAATCATTCTAATGGACTCTTTTCACATTTCCGGGGGTTCTCAAAAGCGGAAATTGTCATAGTTGGGTAAACTTGAATTGAAAATAAATTAAACTAAAGAGAAAAAAAAAAGAAGAAAAAAAACATTTCTACGACTTTCCAAATGAAAAAAAATGCACAGAGATTACGTTGGTCAAAAGAGATTTCTTTAAATTTGCCATCACTCCATCAGCCGTTGCATTAGAAATGCATGAAGCAGCATAAACAAGATTTATGCAATGTTATGCCAGGGTATATATGTGTATCTGTATGTATATGCAACCCTGGAGGCACAAAACCTCAAGTCGCTGGGGTATTTGTATTTTTTGTATTTTGTACAAAAAAAAATTTTCTTTTATCATTAGGGTATTAAGTAAAGATCATGTTCCATGAAGATATTTTGTACATGTCCTACCGAAAATATATCAAAACTTAATTTTTGATTAGTAATATGCATGGCTAAGAACTTCATTTGGACAACTTTAAAGGCGATTTTCTCAATATTTAGATTTTTTTTGCACCCTCAGATTACAGATTTTCAAATAGTTGTATCTCGGCCAAATATTGTCCTATCCTAACAAACCAATGGAAAGCTTATTTATTCAGGTTTCAGATGATGTATAAATCTCAATTTCAAAAACTTGACCCTTATGACTGGTTTTGTGGTCCAGGGTCACGTGTGTGTGTATGTATGTGTATGTATATGTATATGTATATATTAGGGGTTAAAGCAAAAAAAAAATCCTGAGCCTGAACTTTTTTCCGGGGGGCGGGTCTGCACATGCAGAGCATGCAATAACTGTGGCAACTTTAACATTTGAAAGGATGCTATGACAAAGTTATCGCTTTCCTTATTCAAACTGATTTTTTTTTCATTTATATATGGTTGACCTGAAGAATGAAAGCTATATCATACACTTGGAAAATTACAAGCTATATCATCGTCGCAGACACTAGGGGTGTGACAATACACTTAGCTCACAAGATGTGACAAAATACAGATACTTGGTTCACTAGAACGGAGACAATATTTTAATACTATTTTAAAGAAATTTTCAATGACAAAATATTTGTCTTTTAATTACAAAAAAGTAAAACAACGCAGTTGTATTTTGAAATATTTCTGTAACTAATGATTATTTTGGTAATCAAGTAATCTACTGATTATTTTGACAACCGAGTAATCTGGTATATTTTAGTAACACAAATAGACCTAAGTGAAAACCAAGCTTTAGTATGACTATTTATATATAAACTAACGATGAGGCAATAATAATTGGCTCAAATAAAATATCAAAACCAAGTAATTACATGGTTTTATTGAACAACACTGATAAAATACATAAGGTAATATGCCGATACATAATATGAACATAAGTACATTATGTGTTATAACAAATTCCTGCAGAGGGCGCCACCGGCCTGGTGACGTTTCACTTTACAGCGTGATTAAACGATGTTTAAATCCATTTAATTTTAATATTTGGCCACATGCAAACTCAGAAACTTTTATTTTGAAATCGCAATGTACAATAAATGGCATATTTAGAAATAGGTTGATGTATTCTCCTGTATTGGCAAAGGTTAAAATGATTTACAAGTTACCATTAAGAGATAGAGATCATGTGTGAACAGGACCTTTTCAAAAATCCCGGTAAATTTGTTCTGGCAATCATATCGTTCTTTTGGAGATGACGTGATTACTCTGAGCTGTTTATAATCTCTGCTGCTTTTTAATTAGTTTTTCTATGTAAATATGCACTATATGGACATCTTTGTTCATTGCGCCTCGCAGCTTTTTCAACGTGTCGCGCTTCTTCATTCATCAGGGCAGCGATGCGCATCTTTGTGTTTATAAGAGCAAAATATTCTGATTGGCTAGTAATGTTAGTTTGGTTGAGAGTAAAAGCTGTGCTCCTTTCATACCATTGGTAGCCGAACTCATGGACACGAAAGTGATAAACAAGCACACACACACACAATGTTAACTTGTATGTGTGTATACCTATATATACATACATACACACACGCATATAATGTTAACTCTGGAAATGCTTCATCAAAGTCTGTGAAAGGGGTGCTGACTTGGTGCTCCAAAAACATTTCTTACTATCAATGTTGAAAACAGTTTTGCTGCTTAATTTTGTGGAAACTTTTTTTAGGATACTTTGACGAATAGTTCAAAAGAATGGCATTTATTTGAAATACAAAATCATTTGTACCATTATAAATGTCTTCACTATCACTTTTTAATGCATCCTTTCTGAATCAAAGCATTTATTTCTTTTAAAAAATTACCGTGAAAACAATTTTATGTTTATATATTGTGTTGCCAAATGTATATTCAAAAGTATAAAGAATTGTGTTTATCTTGCGTTTAAATTTGGAGTAATGATAAAATATTCCAGTACAATGCAAAGACATTTCATTCCATTCCATACAGTCCTTTTTAAATGAAAGGGAGGCATCAAAAGGGCCAGGTTGGCTAAGTGCAGCAGGCACGCTGAAAAATCCCTTATGGGTTCCCAATGCTATGAGCTAGATGCTCTCTCACCACTTACACATACAGAGTATATAATTCACTTTTGCTCCAAGCGAGACACTAGGTACAATGTCAGTGAGTGATTTACAAGGCCATGGTTATATCAGTAAACAGCAGAAAGTGTTTAGAATATCTGACTCAACATGAGAGCTCAGGCAGATGCAGCAAGACAGTCAGACTGAGACAGCGTGAGCGGCTGTGCAGGAAGGCGCTCTGCTGTGACTGACTGACACACGTTAGCACTGTATTTATCCCCTGAGAATGGACTACTGTACAGAGACGGCAGCATGCTGAAAAGGCCAAGGGATCTTCATCTCTCCTGCTTCAGCCTGTCAATATCATCACACCTGGCACTCTGTTCCATATCATTACTGCTCCTGCTCTCCTCCAAAACAGCTACCAGTCCCCTGGGAGAAGCAGTGACACAGCTGAGCCATAGCAGGAAACCAAATCTGCCGTCTTTACTAGTGCTGAAGCGTGAGAGAGAGAACCACTTAGAGCAGCTCTTTATGACAGGGAAAAAGAGCCTAACAAAGACTGAAGTGTATATTCTGGACAACACTATACAAGTCCAGGAGGAACAGCAACAGTTCCGGTCAAAATAAATGAATAAATAAAATAATATTGATATGGGCAGTCAAGTGATTTTGGTCAAAAAATGACCAATTTCACAAGCAAATTCACTTTTCCACTTCCTGGCAAAGACATGAAACTTTTGAGAGCTAACACAACTACAAAGAGCGCAATATGTGTGTAAATTATGTTTATGTACACAACCATTCAAACATTTGGGGTTAGTAAGATGTTTTGAACATCTCTTGTTCATCTTGTGCCTGTAAGTTGAACATCGACTTACAGGCATAAACTTAACTAGTACATCCCTACAACTTTATTTTATTTTATTCTATTCCTATTCTATCTATAGCACACCTGTACATACAATTTACCAGGACTCATTTAACAGACTCATTTAACATTCAACAATGATAAGCCAAGGTTTACAGCAAAACTTCATCATCTTCGTCAGGCCAAAGAGGACGCATCACATCCAAGCCATCTCCTTTTTGAACTTTTGCCATCTGGTCGGCGTTACAGAGCACTGAATACCAGGACAGCCAGGCACAAGAACAGTTTCTTTCCCCAGGCAATCTACCTCATGAACAGTTAATGTTCTCCCATTGTGCAATTAAAGTATGTGCAATAACCTTATACTTATTTATCACCCTAAATCCTAGTACATCCCTACAACTTTATTTTATTTTATTCTATTCCTATTCTATCTATAGCACACCTGTACATACAATTTATTATTTTTTGTGGTTATATTTATGCATGTGTATTTTATTCACATCTTATTTTTATTATCTGTGTGTTGTTGTTGTCTCCGTGTACTGGAAGCTTGTGACACTATAACAAATTCCTTGTATGTGCAAACATACTTGGCAATAAAGCTCTTTCTGATTCTGATTCTTCTTCTTCTTCTTATGCTCACCAATGATGCATTTATTTGATCAAAAATACAGCAAAGCAGTAATATTGTTAAAAATGATTACAATGTATTTAAAATAACTGGTTTATTTTAATATATTTTAAAATTCTATTTATTCCTTTGATGGCAAAGCTGAATTTTCAGCAGTCGTTGCTCCAGTTCTCAGTGTCACATGATCCATCAGAAATCATACTAATATGTTGATTTGGTGCTCAAGAAATATTCATTATTATTAATGTTGAAAACATGCTGCTTCAGGATTCTTTGATGTATATAAAGTTGTGTAAAATTGTCATTTAAGATTTAATGCATCCTTGCTAAATGAATAATTAATTAAAAAAAAAAAAAATCTATCTATCGAAACATTTCAACGGTGGTGTATTTTTCCACTCTTGTGGTGCCTCGGAGGATGATGGGAGATGGGGAATTTGATCAGATTCAAACAAGTTAAATGCGTTGCTTTCTGGCAAGTTTTATAATTTTCCTCAACAGTAATGCAGTTATGCACAAAATGCATAAAAACATTATTATAACTTATTATGTCTAACAGCAATTAGCTTCCACCATAATGCTTTAATTCAGACATTCCCAACTCAGAAAGCCGTGGCTTAAAAAAAAAAAGTGGTAAATACATTAATTTGGACATGACTTGAAAGCACCATTAGTATCAGGGCTTAGTGTCAGCTGTGCAAAATGCCATTGTGCACCTGTCCAATTAAGGGCTTATGAGATTAATCCAGATTCGATGTCATACCCGGTTCGTTTGGTTTGCCATGCCACGGCCAGCCTGTTGTTGATTTTGTACACCACCAGTTGCCATGGTAACTTTTCTGATGGGACCAAGTCTCTGTTGGGGGGCAGGCCGAGCAATTGGTTGTTGCTGCTGCTGTGGGGGACCAGTGTTGGGACCGGCATCTGCCTGCTGAATACAGAGCAGACACATCTTACAACCCACACAGAAAGAAAATCTCCAGCGGCACACAAAATAACAAAAATTAGTCCATCATGACTGCACCACAATTTTTTAAGGTAATAAATACAACGGCAGTCTTAGAGCTCACCAAAACGTACAGAAATGTGTGATCCGTTTAAACTGGCACAGAGTAAGTAAATAAGCCAACAAAGACAAAAAGAGACAAAAGTGTTCAATTATGTGATGTGCTCTGATTTCGGGATGATACTGAAATCATTTTTGGAGGATAAGGTATAGCTGAATTCATTAAACATCTTTCAGAAGAGTGATAACTGCATCTCTGGGCACAAATGTCATGGATGTGGACCTGTCTGAGATAAAGTGCCTCTGGCTCTTCCTCCAAATTCTCAGTCATTCTGTTTCCTCATCTTCAGGGAAACCTTTCAAGTGTCCGTGTTATCTGATGGCCGCTGGCAGTCTTTAGATGTAGAAGGCCTTGAAAATGGCCAGATTTAAGTTGCTCACAGGACCACTAAATCTCACAAAAAGGGCTCTTTTCATATTGTATAAGGTAAGCTGGGAAATATGTCTCCTATTCTCTTGACAATAGATGGCACAAAATCTCAACACATTAAATGAATTGCTGTGCTCTTTTTAATTTTGTCATCTGTCATCTGAATATCAACAGTTATCAGGTTAACTAGTTTAAACTGTATCACTGGAAAACTCTGATATATGACTGTGTTATGTTGAATGTAAAATGATTTTGTGTCTATATGTTAATGTGGGATTACATTAATGGAAACATTAATGTTTTCAGATATGTGAGCAAAAATATTATTTTTTTTTATTTTGAATTGAAAGCGTAAAATTAAGACCTTTGGGGTAAGATGCACCGAAGGCCCAAAGTGGAATGTTCTCACTTAAGATATTTTTAATTTAATACATTTGATAATTTTTGTAAATAAAAATTATACATTTGAATAAAGTTCTTTTTAATTGTCGCATGAGTTAAATGTACATTTCTGACATCTCTATCCATTAAAACCTACAGGCTAATTGAGTGAAGTCAGTCTATTTTAATGCATAGTGTTCCTATTACGGTATGTTCAATTAAAATGTGTAATTTAATATGTATAGTTCTTTACACAAGTCACAGAATAAATTTATATCTTAATTATCTTTTACTTGGATTCTGCTTTGCCTGTTGTCAGTTTTTTTTTATTATTCAACTGAATTGTCAAAACACAATTTAAACAGAACAGTTGATTTAGTATTTTACATTCATAGCTAAACTTTGCAGAGCTGTGGCCCTCCAGGAATTGAGTTTGAGGCCCCGTCCACACGGAAAGGCGTTTAGCTGTATACGCAAACATTTTGTATCGTATTGGCATTTCGTCCAGGCGGATCCGGAGTTTTGGGAGCGTGAAACCGCTATAATTTGAAACCGGGTCCCAGAGTGGATAAGTCTGAAAATGACACCCTTGCGTTTTCGTGTGGACAGTAGACTTGTGCCGGTATTCGGTAATGCGATATATCACGGTAATGACTATGCACGATATTGTTATCGTGGGC